AAGCTGAACGCTGTACGTCCAATGGATGATGATCTGACTAGTCGACTATCAAAACAATCGTTTGTGGCAGCCCTACATTTGAGTCTAATAATAGATTAAATGCAAAGGCTGTCATTTTCAGCAACTGCATGGATGTTAAAATCACCCACTCTAATTATTTTACCTGAACTGAGTACTAAAAAAAAGTCTGAGACAACCGAGAATTAAAATAAGGGCGAGGTGAGGGGATCAGTCCCGTGTTTGCAGTGGTGATTGAGAGGTTGCAGGGGCATCCATATTGTGTTCTGGCAGACAACACTGTGATCTGTAGTGAGTCTGGAGAGGTGGATGCATGTTCTGGAGAAACGAGGAGTGAAAGTAGGTGTAAAGACAGAACGTGTGTGAAATATACACCCTGTTGATTGAAACGATGCACTGTTTGCCACATGTAGTATGTATCAGTAACTGTAGAGTTCGTATATTAAGTTTAGCAAATTGCATAATTGGAGTGTACGTTTACGTTTGCAGAGCCAGCAGGTGCTGATGTTTGCTCTCTGGATCAGGTGACACTAACTAACACAGACCAAGAGGCTTTGGATGACTTCCTCAACTCCAGTGGAGATGAAGTCACTACTGAATCATCATTGACATCAGGTAATCTCAACTCAAGACATGTTGTCATAGAGTACAAAGCAGAATTATTTATCCTGACAAAACACAATCAGCTTGGTAAACTCATACAAACATGTCAAAACATCAGCATGTTTAATGTTCCAATACAATATTTCACACTTGTGGTCAGACGTGTACATGTAGTGATCGTGGACATGGCTGTCATGGTCATTTTGGACTTTTCATGATTTCTTTGAACTGTTCTTTTCCAATGGTCCATACAGGGGAAGTCAGTAAGTGCATAAGAACAAGCCAGGAAATTGATCCCAAACATCCATCTAAATGGTTTTATAATGAGTAAAAGAAGGTGAATATAAAGCATCTGGAATGACCTGAATCATTTAGAAAATGCATAAAAGCTGTGTCTGTGATAGTAAACCAGCCAATTTAAATGAATGTTACCAACTCTGTCGAGAAGCGTGGTCAAATATCCTGCTTACATCATGCCAGAAGCTTGTTAATAGCAACATTGAGTAAAACTTGCTAAAGGACATTTAACCAAATATTGAAGGTGTATTAGTGCAGCTGTATGGATATGTACTAATGTCAGTACTAATATCCATCATTCTTTCAAGTAAGATGTATGCTGTACAATCATTCCACCCTAAAACAGAAAACAATCTAAGAGCTCTTTTTGAGGTTGACCCCTGCCCAGTGTTGCCAACTTAGCGACTTTGTTGCTATATTTAGCGGATTTTCAGACCCCCTTTGCGTCTTTATTTCTAAAAAGTGACTAGCGACAAATCTGG